GGAGGGGGGCGGCGGGCGGGGCGCGGCCGCCCCCGATGACAAAGGGATTGCGGCCCGCCGGTCCTTCCCGCCCTCCCGGGACGCGCGGCCGCCCGCACTCACATTGTCTATGACGACGGGCTGGTTCGCTATCACGTCGTAGGACTCCATGGCGAGGAGCCGCCGCAGCCACCCGTCAGGGAGCAACAGCCCAGCCCTCGGCGGCGCATGCGCGGAAGGGCGGCGCGCAGCCGCCTGGGTGATGTATTCCTCCGGCCGCGGTGGCTCCTGGGTACTGTAGTCCGGGTCCCGCGCACTGCCCGGTGGGACGGCGCGGCGGGAGCGGTGCATGCCGGGAAATGTAGTGCGGAAGAAGGGAAATGGAGCTATTTCGCCATGTCCTGGAAACGGCCTCTTGGGCCCGAAAGCCGAGGGGGGCGGTGGGTGCTGTGTCCCGGGGGTTAACTCTGCATTGCCACCGCAAAACACTGGGTTTCAACTGGCTGATTTCCAGTTTAATAGTTTTTCTTTCCCCAGTTTTTTTTCTAATCAGAAAAGAGGAAGAAAAAAAAGTGTTCCTGTTCCCTTCTGCAGAGGAAATGTGTCACTAATAAAAGCATTTCACCGTCCTGTACTTTCATGGCATCACCTCCACAAACCGCGTCATAACGCATCTGTTCTTTCAGTGTTACCTGGTTTTCTGCCTTTTTTTTTGAGGCAGAAGTGTCCATACAAAGAATCCATATGTGTGTATTATATCATAGAATGGTCTGAGTTGGAAGGGACCTTAAAGATCATCTAGTTCCAACTCCCCTGCCCTGGGCAGGGACACCTCCCACCAGACCAGGTTGCTCCAAGCCCCATCCAGCCTGGCCTTGAACCCCTCCAGGGATGGGGCAGCCACAGCTTCTCTGGGCAACCTCTTCCAGGCTCTCACCACCCTCACAACAAAGAATTTCTTCCTGATATCTAATCTAAATCTCCCCTCTTCCAATTTAAAACCATTATCCCTTGACTTATGGCTCCCCTCCCTGATCAGGAGTCCCTCCCCATCTCTCCTGGAGCCCCTTCAGGTACTGGAAGGCTGCTAAAATGTCTCCCCGGAGCCTTCTCTTCTCCAGGCTGAACACCCCCAGCTCTCTCAGCCTGTCTTCACAGCAGAGGGGCTCCAGCCCTCGGAGCATCTTCATGGCCCTCTGCTGGACCTGTTCCAACAGGTCCATGGTCTTTCTATGTTGAGGACTCCAGAGCTGGACACAGCACTCCAGGTGGGGTCCCAGCATTAAATCCCCTGTTGTGTGTTCTGGCAGCTCAGCTGACAACTGACAAAGCCACTATAATGGTATGTTTATACATCGGTGGGTCTTGAAATGAGTGACAATGCCTGTCTCTGGTGCCTGGCACAGGCAAGGGGCTGGCTCGGAACCCCCCCGTCACCTCCCGCATCGCTTACACAGACACTGAGTCTTTTCTTCCATGGTTTCTGCCTTCAGCCCAAGCAGATTGTCCCGTCTCAGATGTTTACCACCTGCCAAGAGTTAGGTTGATGGTTGATGGTTGGACTAGATGATCTTAAAAACCCAGGCAATTCTATGATTCTACAATTTCAAATATTCCAGTATTGTAACAGCTCAGTAAATGCCAGGAGGGACTCATTGTGTGTATTAAGCCAACACAGCATTTCACACGTGGGTCTGTTACGTTTACCTTCTTGATTGACTATAATTTGACACAAAATTGTCACCAAAAGTAGTATCACGGTAATGGGACCAGTGAAATACTGTTGGTTCTGAGAAGCTGTGATCCGTAAGAATACCCAGGTGCTCACTTCCTTTCTCCGTGGATAGTCATTTACAGAGAATCACAGAATGCTATGGGGTTGGAAGGGACCTCTGGAAATCCCCCAGTCCACCCCCCTGCCAAAGCAGGTCCACCCAGAGCAGGTCCCACAGGAACGTGTCCAGGTGGGTTTGAATGTCTCCAGAGAAGGAGACTCCACCACCTCTCTGGGCAGCCTCTGCCAGGGCTCTGCCACCCTCACAGGAAAGAAGTTCCTTCTCATGTTCAGATGGAGCTTCTTATGTTCAAGCTTGTGCCCATTCCCTCTTGTCCTGTCCCTGGGCACCACTGAAAAAAGACTGACCCCATCCTCCTGACACCCTCCCTTGAAGTATTTATAGGTGTTGATCAGATCCCCCCTCAGCCTTCTCTTCTCCAGACTCAAAAGCCCCAAGTCCCTCAGCCTTTCCTTGTAAGGGAGATGCTCCAGGCCTCATTTGGTTGTTGAATTGCCAGCTTCTTGACTATCTGTGATCTCCTAAAAGTTATGTTGTGAATACTGAGTTTAGAATAAACTCTCAGCTATTTAACTGAGAAATGCAACAAGCAGGAGTACTCCTCCTCTCAGCATTTTATAGCTCTTTTTTTTTTTAAATTTATGCTGATTAAAAAGCAGGACACTGCTCTAGCAAAGCTGTATATGATTATTGCAAGTCATATGCCAGCTCACACGTATGTACAAGGTTTTGGAGGACCTCAGATGTAGCTGCAGCTCAGGAAGGAGCCAGACCTCCAGTGTGGTTAGGACACATGTTAAGATCCTCCATCAGGCAGCCCCTGAACTTCACCAACTTTGTGTTGCCTCACAGCGGCCTCTGAGGTACCTACAACACAGAAAGGCGCACGGGGAGAAGGTGCTTGTGAGGACTGGAGAAGGGGTGAAGACGGCTGTGAGAAAAGCTGTAAGAGCAGCAGTGAAGGAGATACGGCTGTTTGCTGGCCACGTCTCGCAGCGCAGCCGTGGTCCCACAGAACCAGGAAGGCCAACAGAATCCTGGGCTGTGTAGGGAAGAGTGTGGCCAGGAGGTGGAGGGAGGTCATTCTCCCCCTCTGCTCTGCACTGGGGAGGCCACAACTGGAATCCTGCGTCCAGTGCTGGGCTCCCCAGTTCAAGAGAGACAGGGAACTGCTGGAGAGAGTCCAGCGTAGGGCAATGGAGATGATTCAAGGATTGGAGCATCTCCCTTATGAAGAAAGGCTGAGAGAGCTGGGGCTCTTCAGCCTGGAGAAGAGAAGGCTGAGGGGAGACCTTCTTCATGCTGACAAGTATCTCAAGGGTGGGTTGAAGGAGGATGGAGCCGGACTCTTTCCAGTGGTTCCCACTGAGAGGATGAGGGGCAACGGGCACAAGTTGGAACATTTGAGGTTCCACTCAAATATGAGGAAAAACTTCTTCACAGTGAAGGTGGCAGAGCCCTGGCAGAGGCTGCCCAGGGAGGGTGTGGAGTCCCCTTCTCTGGAGATTTTCAAGACCCCCCTGGATGCAGCCCTGAGTAACATGCTCTGACAAGCTCTAGGCAATCCTGCTTCAGCAGGGGAGTTGGACTAGATGATCTCTGTGGTCCCTCCAACTCTAAAAATTCAGTGAAATTCAGTGAAATTCAGTGAACCACAGGGCAGCAGGGAGACGAGAGCCGAAGCCTGCGCGGGCAGGTGAAGTCCGCCAGAAGCAGCTCCTGAACCACTGCCATTTACACTCCCAGAGCCCGGAGCACCGAGGCCGGGGGCGGCTGCGGCCTGGGACTGCCCCGGGACGGGCCCTGCCCTCAGCACTCCGGGCCGGCCGGGGCAAGCACCCGCCAGGCCCCGCTCAGGCCTCCCGCCCGCGGCCTCCCACCGCCCCCGAGGCCGCCCCACGGGGACCCTTTCCTCTTCCCTCAGGCCCATCCCGGTGCCGGTTACCCTCCACCCCGCATTCCGCGGCCCCCGGTAGCTCCGCACCGCGCTTCCCCTCAGCGAGGGGACGACTCCCCCCCCTACACCGCCGCAGCCGCTAGAGGGCGCTGTGGGGGCGCGGCGCGGAGGGGGGAGGGAAGAGGCGCGGCCGCACCTCCGCGCCGCGCGTCGCCATTGGCGGAGCCGCCCCGTCAATCATCGTCGCCCCGGGCAGCGGGGCCCGCCCCCTCCTCCCGCAGCGCCGCGCCGCGCAG